TCAATTAATGCCCCTACCGTGTTGAAGTCATGAGTCACTCCTTGGTGATTAGAGATGGAACGATCATAGATAAGACTCTACTACTGGATTACTTCTCGGATTAATGAATCATCTTTCCAGTATCAAATGTTGCATGATCTTCAAGCAAGTTTCTTATTTATACTCTCTGAACTTCTTTTAGCCCTCGGTGCATTTCTATGTTAGCGAATACTTGATTGAAAACTTTTATCTCTCCTTGTGAAAATTTTCACTTAAATATCCCCTTGCGGATCAACACTTTCGCATTATGTCATGTCGACGAAATGCAAAAAAATGTGAAAATGACACAAAAAATAAGAGAAATGAGTTAGTACATGAAAGATAATCAATACAGATAAAAGTGTTATTCAGAGATGAATATAACACCTACCTTATCCTGCTATCTACCCAAGCATGCTTTTATTAAACAACAATCCTATCTAGACATGCTTTCTACCCAAAATGATTTATTTCAAGAAATTAATCATATTCGTATGGTATCTAGTTCACATGCTTTTAAAAGAGTAAATCTATTCTACAAATTCGAAAATAAATAAATAAAAAAGGTTAGAGTAGGTTTCTCTTTCATGTACATTTATTTTGGCACCTACTAACGGACAGAGGTTTAGTATAGCTAGGGTGATCGTATGAGTCTTAGCAAATGTTACCCGGTTGGGCTCTGTTTCTGGACTGGATTTGGTTGGACTTGGACCTAAAATTGGATCTGAAATAATTAATTAAATAATATAATATAATAATACTATAATAAATAATATATAAAAATAATATTATATACTATATATATTGTAATATAAATATATATTTACTATAATATAACTAATATAATATATACATAAAATATATAATATATATTAATATATATATATATATATATATATAAATATATATATTACATACCATATAATATATATACCATATAATATACTATATATAATAATATTCCATATAATATAATATATATAATATACTATTATATAATAATATACCATAATATACTATATAATATATTATATAATATATATAACATATAATATATTATATAATAATATACTAAATATACTATATAATAATATACTAAATGTGTTCGGACTAAAATATGTGTATACAGTGGTGTTAGACTTTTTTTCTTGCTTTTTGTATTTTAATAATACTAAAATAATATATGTATTTTGGGTAAAAATTGGTGATTACAATTTTTTTGTATTTCTATGAAAAATATGTTTTCGTCCTTCTTAACTTTTATAAACTTGTCCCTACCTAAAATTTTATAAGTTAACCCTTAACATGAAATTATGTGCATAATGAAATTCAACTCTAATTTCAAAGAAATAAAAATAAAACAAAATAAACTCTAAATCGTTAGTTACATTGCAAACCTATTTATATAAAATAACCCAACAATTTGAGCAAAAACTGATGTTTTGAGTAGCTGATGATTGACAAATACCAAAATGACAATTATTCTTTTCAAGGAGTTACAAATTTAATTATAGATGCAATCATAAGCAATATTTTTCGTAATTATAATTTGAATAAAATATAACGAGTTGAATTAAAAGAAATTTGAATAGAATCTATATATAAAACGAAATAACAAATATGAATAATATACAACAACCAACATATATAAAACAATTCAAAGTGTATAATGATATTAAATAAGTAGAAATTTAAGATGTGAGAGAAAGTTTTATAACATCAATTACTAGTTGTGAAAAAGGAAGTGGCAGGTAGCTAAATTTCTTGAACTATAGGATTTCTTGTTGAAATTATTTATTTCACTAGATAGTAATGCGTATGGTACATCATGAAAACTGACCCTCCACTAATTAACAAACCCTGGTTTTGTTTATATGTAATGTACACATTTGGTGAACTAATTCGTAGTAAAAATATTAATACCTTCGTATTGCATTTTCCGGTTTGGTGAAGCTAACGCATGAAGGTTGATGAAGTCAATGTGTACACTTTTCCAAAAGTCGGGTGCCCTAGTTTTTATATTTTATTTTTAAATCGCTTAGAGGAAAAAGAAGGGGTAAATACTGTATTATATATGTTCACATCAAACTACTTTTAATGGTTTAGTTTTGAATTTTGATGGATACATGTCATACGTATAAATCAATATTTAATATAGTGTTGAGTGTATATAATTTGCCGATAAATTATATATTAAATATAAATGAATAAACGGTTGATGAAGTCAAAAAAATTATATATTTAAAACAATATTTGATTAATTCAGTTTAATTTATTGTTATAAAATTAGTTTTGTTGATTAATTTGGTCGTTGGTAAATTTTTGAATTTTAAAATTGGTATATATATATATATATATATCATATTTTAAATATAAAAATCATATATTAAACTCAATTGATTAATTTTTTAAATTGATCAGTTTTTTTTAAGATAGAGATTTATTGATTAAGAATAGGGGGTCGAACACGACACAAACGTTAACAATAATCTCGTTAAAAAATCTCCTTAATCCTAATAGGAGAAAAATGGCTTTATGTTAATTTCATTATGTCAGTTTAGGATAAAAAAACAATTTATTTAATTTTATAGGTTATAATATATTCAATTAAATAAATATGAAAATGAAAAAAAAAAACCCTATTTTTCTCCCCATATGTGAGTGGCATATATAGAGAGGTTAAGATTCATTTACACTTACTACGAAACTTTTAGTTTTATACATTTTTAGGATCGTTAGATGAGTTAAAATAGACTATCGAGATTATCTCATTATTTTTTTCAATGAATATCTTTTAATTCCTTACCTTTGAACTCAACCATCTATTTCACTCATCTAACTATTCTAAAAAAAATATAAAATTAAAAGTTTTGCATTAGATGTATAGGGATCATGTTCCTATATATATTGAAAATGAATATATAACCGCGTGATTGGAACATAGGGTAAGCCTTGAACAGAGGACAATTTTTTATAGGATGATACCTTATCTAATGAGCCAGCCAATTTGTAACGTCTAATTGTTTAAGACAATTGTTTTGTTGGCCAACAACTCCATTGTCATCCCTAATCAAACCTTAGTAAGCATCATGGTTAGGTTTATTCAATTATGGAAACTAATTAATTATATTTCTTTTATGCAATTTTGAATGTTTTCATTTTCATTCTTCTTTAATTTTCTTGTCCTCTTACATTTTACTTGTTTTTTTTAGTCAAATTAGTCTTCGGTTAATAATTAAATTAGCCAGTATTATTCAATTTGAATCATCAGGAAAAATAACTACATTATCTTTGTTTCTTTTTAAAAATATATATTACAATTTCTCAAAATGGAAAAAAAATATGTTACGTATTTTTTAAAAATATAAATCATGTATGAATTAATTATTTCTGAAAACATGACTTTTTCATAAAACAAATTGTAGTATAAATTATTAAACTTGCTTAACATAAAATTTCAGGTTTTATTATCATCGTTTTAAAATGATTAAAACATGTTACCTGATTTATAAAACAAACAAATATGCACTCGCGCCAATTTCATTTGTTTTTTAATAATAAATAAATAAATATGCAACACAATTGGGCTAAACCCAATTAAAGAATCCAAAGCAAACCCCTGCAATTCTAATCTCTAAGTATTCAATCCACTATTTCCAAGAGAAATTTGAACTCTTTTAAAAGCCCGACTTTTTAATGGACTTGGATAAGTAGTCCAAATGATTTTAGTCAAATTAATTTCATGTCAGTTATGATGATTAAAATTTTTAATTAATTAAGAATTTATTGAGTGATGTTATTGGTAAAAGAAAATTTATTTTCTTAGAAGATCTGAATTCAAACAATTACGTCGGTAGAGTGCATACGCTGTTAATGATTAAAAAAATTAAACCTCAATTGAAGAGGTGACGTCAAATCCAAAAAAGAAAATCACATTACAAAAGTAGAGAAAAACATCCTAAATGAGAGAAAAAAATCAATTATTCACGATCAATTTAAAACTAATAACCTTTTTTAAAAACCGACACAATAGAGAGAAAAATTTGAAAAAGTATTAAACTCAAAAGATTCACTATTACATTTTTATTGTATAAAAATAATAACCTCATATATTCACAAAACTGAATACAACTTGTATCAAGACTAAGTCACTCCTTGTCACACACTTATACAGGACAAGCAAACAAATAGGAGCACATGAGGTATTGGAATATATAATTAGCTCCATTGGATTGACTTTTCTTCTTCTTTGCTTACCCAACAGGAAACCTAGAGATGAAGGTAATCAAACGTTGAGGGACTGAACACATGTGCAGCCTCTTTTTCTATTTGCTCCAATTGGCCTTTCAATAGCAGCATGTACACCACCCAATCACCATCTCTCACTGTACTAGGCATCGGCATAACGTACCCACAAAGACCACCCCATGGGAAATTGTATGACCCAAAAGCAGGGCAACACCATCCGAAATCCACCTTTGAAACCGGGAACCGCAGCCCCGACGACACAACCAATGCCGGTCCATCATCCTTTACAACATTGTATACCCTTGTCATCGCTGGCTCGGGGCGGTGAGCTTCGACCCAATCGATCACTCCTAGAAAATGTTCCTTTTTCGTCGCGGGTTTTAGAAACTCGTGAACTTGTTTTGCCACCGAACATAAAGGTTTTTCAGTTAGTTCACCGATTGTTTGGGATCCGTACGGGATGGATAGCACATTTCCAAAGTGGGATCTCATGATATTGGCCTTGTCTGGATCTCCTTCGCCTAACCTTGTTCTTCCATCCACAACAATCCCCAATTTTGATATCTTTCTTCTATCTTTATCGGCGGTGTAAGTTGCCACCGTCTTCCATAAATACGCACTAAATGACTTGAGTCTGCTCCTTTTGTCGCCGTTGGAGGAGGCAAGTGATTGAAGCTCATTGAGTTGGTCGGCATTAACGTAATAGATCCGACTTATGAGATGATCAATGTTCACACTCGTTTTTTCGTCCTAAATATTATTAATATTATTATTATTATTATTATTATTATATATTATTATTATTAATATAATTGTTTTTGTTACAGGTTACAAGACCCGGATCCAGACCCGGTTACAAGACCCGACCCGATAGCAGCAACTTCACCACAGTCACCCATGCCACCCACGAGCGTCTATGCTGACCCAACTTGTGCCAACCAAGACCTGCAAACAAGAAATCAAAATATCATCAGCATAACCAAATTCAAAAGAAAAAGAAAGCAATTTAATCCTGAAAATTTTGGGATTTCACTTTACCTGCTCCCATCAAAACTTCACCAAACACAAGGAAATTAACAGAAGATGACAAGAAGATTCGGTGAAGAAGAGGAGATAAAATTGGGGTCTCTCGACCAGAAAAAGAGGAGGGGAGACCAAAAACAAAAAGAACAAGGGGGTCTGGTTTTTTTTAAAAAGTTGTAATACAAAGTGAGGGCCTCTCTTTTCTTTCGAATTGACACAGGAAATCAATGTAAAAAAGAAAAGTGTAATCCTATCATTCGAACGAAAAAGAGAAGACAATACAAGAAAGGTTCATTTGAAATTTCTACTTTCATTTTTTTCATGTGTATTTGTGTGTTCATGTTTGTATTCATTTCGAAACTAAAAAAAACAATTTTAAAAAGAGGATCAAGTTACCTTAGGAGATACGCGCGCCGAGGGAGCCTCGTCGACTCCATATCGTAGTCATTAGCGTTGGGGATCTCTTGGAGGGCTTGCATGTGTCATTGGGCTCGGTCATTAAAAACAGTAACAAGGAGGGGAATGTAACGGGGTGATGAGTAAAGGGAGAGCTCTCGTATTTCTTTTCGAAATCAACAGCACCAATCTGTTTCCTTTCATTTTTACACCAACAATACAAGCAACACATCATTCCCTAGTTTTTTTTATTAACAACCCAACTGTACAAAACGAATCATTTTCCAAGTAAAGAATCTTTTTAAGGTTTCGAAATTAAAAGAGTAAATAGGTTAGGGATTTTCGGGTTACCTTGTTCATGTGTATCAACGACGGAGTCTTCGTCGGAGGAAGACCTTGGCAGCGTCGATTGAAGGATAGGTGGTCAGATCGTGGGTTGAGGCTTGTATTTTCCGATTGGTGGTCGTTTAGGCAGTGATGTTGAAGCTTTGTGGTTCTCGGTTGTGAGATAGGTAGAAGATGAGGGAGCTTTGTTTGAGAGGGTCACTGGTTAAACTGTGGTCGACCATGGGGGCCTTTTAGAGTTATCTACGCTGTAGGTGGCGGCCTTGGATACTCTGGTTTAGATGGCAGCTTCCGGCGTAGGTTCGATGGTTGAGCGATTGGGGCTGTTTGGGAAAAGGTCTCTCTTTTCCCTTTTGTTTTATGAGCGTGAAAAAGAAGATAGGGAGAGAATAGAGAGGGGTTGAGCGGCAGAGGAGTTTAGCTTAGGTTAAGTGTTAGTTTAGGTTTTATATTAAGATTTCTGGGTAAATTAACTTTCAGTCATTGAAACTTTAGGGTAATTTGTTTTCGTGCCCTTGTTCCTTTGTCGTTTATTTGCATATTAGTCACTGGTAAGGACTGATTTTTAATTTAACATTTTGTGTTTGTCTTGGTTTAATTATTTTCCAAATTTATATTTTAGGTATAATGTTTTGAGTTATTTAGTTTCAGGTCATCGTGTTTTTATTATAATTCATCTTAGTCCCTAATTTAATTTGCATGTTTACTAGAGTGAGTTGTATTTCCATGTTTGAATATATATTATATTAGGTACTTTTATTTTATTTTTATTATATTAGGTATGATTGTTTTTAATGATCCCTATATTTTTGCTTAAAATATTAATTTTGTATTAGGTAAATGTCTATAGTAATCCTTTAATATATTATATTTATATTGGGTTAATAATTGGTTGTTAAATACGTGGCATATTCATATATATAATACATATGTTTTTTTATCAAGATATGGCATATATATATATATATATCCTTTTGTAAACAAATATAGTATGAATGCTTTCTTTATTAAAGAATTTACCCTATAATGTTGTTCAATGTTTTGTTTTCTTTCCATGTTAATATAATATATATATATATATATATATATATATATATATATATATTGTAACACCCCAACCCGTACCCGACTCGAATACGAGTCCGAGGTGTCACTTTGACTTTTCAAACTTTGACTCTTAAAGAAAAACCCCGGGAATTTAAAACTTTGTTTAAAACAAAATACGTTAATTTACATAAAAGATACCATAAAATACAAACTCGATCAGAGTGCTCATAATTAACGACTTATTGCATGCCAACACTCTATACACAATAAAATAACTATTTTGTTGATTACTTCTGATCTGATCTTCTAGTAATAATACTGTCCTTGCTACTTCTATTCTTGCTCTTCTTGTTTCTTGGTACATACGTGTAAATCACTTACATGCTAAGTCATAAACTTAGTGAGGCAATAAATAAACATGTAACAGTAGATTCATGAATACACATTCTTACCATTTGATCATGATATTTCAATATGCATGTATATATTTCATATGGCATATATAACCAAGTCATGCACACATGAAACTTACCTTTTTGCATCACTTTCACTTTAATTTATATTTCAATTGCCCATATATATTGCTATTGAGAACAAAGGTATGTGAGTACATTGAGGTTGTGCACTAATGCTGTCACCACAGCTCGTATAAATTCCCTCATGGGCACCAAACATTTGTTCAGTATTCGTCCCAAAGGCCTGCTATATATGTCCTGTAGGACCACTACGTCCTGAAGGACTACAATACCCTCGACTCTTGCCATGCCAACTATACATATAGCTCTCGTATCATATACTATGGGCATTTATGATGAATACATTTCTAATCACTTGTTTTTTCTTTTCTGTCACATACCACATGTATGTGGAACCATGTATTTCATATCATATCACATAGCTTATCTCATTTCACATTGGTCATGTCTAATAGCATATATCACATATGCATATAATCATGTATATCATATTATATATCTTATGTTTTATGCTCTTATGTCTATGCATATCATGTAACATATATAATAACCTATACCCATTTCATGTATTCATGCACATATAAGAATCACAAATCAAATAATATTTTAGGAGTCACTTCTTACCATAGTAACTCCATCACTAGCTCATCGCAAGCCAATGTCCGTTCAATAATATAAGTACAATTAAAATTGCACTCACCTTAGCCTTATTTGCTTTGATTTGATCCTAATCCTTTGATTATTCCGGAACTTGTTTAGACTCAATATCTACATAAATATAACATTTCAAAACAACTATCAGAAGCCTAAACCTTAAACTTGATATTAACAACTTAAACCAAATTAAAAAACCAAATTCCATTTTTCATTTAGGGGGAATCGATACCCCCTAAACATACTGGAATTTTTCGTTCAAGAGGGGGAATCGATTCTCATTCATAGGGTATCAGTTCCCTCTACCCAGAAATTGTATTTTAAGCCCGAAAATCATCAATTCTTCATTCAATTCTTCTATTTTAAACCCCTACCATGTCATTAAACTCAACTACCATTACTTAAACCAACTTATATCCATGAAAATCATCTATAACTTAAAAATCCTATCCTTCATATGTAATTCAAGAATCATACTCAAATTTCAATATGTTCTAAATACAATTCTAACACTTCATATTCCTTAATTAACATGATGACAAGTCAAATTTAACTTCAAATTCAACTTATCAGCTCTTTTCCATAATTTCATATAAAATCCTGTTTCCTTTAATCTTTTATAACTTCTTCATCTTTTGATCATAAGACAACTTAAGCTTTCCTTAAGCTTAGTTATCATCTAATGATCAAAACCTAACCTTTAATTTAACAAACAACTAACAAATCAGAAAACTATTACCTTTGCCGTGGCTCTCTCGTATGAAGGAAGAAGAAGAAGAATTCTCTGGATATTACTTCTTTCTTCTTATCCTTTTACCCACGTATATATCCCCAACATATCACATTTTAATTCATTTAATGGTTAAATGATCATTTTGCCCTTTAATTCCTTTAATAATTACTAATAACTTTCAGGAAATATTTCCAAACAAATCATTGGACTATATAAATTCCTACTTAAATCACCAAACTCTGAAGTTTTACGATTTAGTCACTAACCCGTATTTTGGGATGTTGCAAATCTCTCCCCCTTAAAAAAATTCGTCATCAAATTTTCATTGTACAAAGAGATGGGGATATTGAATCTTCATGTCCTCTTCATGTTCCCACGTCGCTTCTTCCACCTTGTGATTTCTCCACAACACTTTGACTAATGGAATAGTCTTGTTCCTTAATTGTTTAACTTCATAGGCTAAAATTCGGATCGATTCTTCCTTATATGTCAAATCCGATTGCACTTCTATTTCTTCTGGTGATATAATATGGGAGGGATCATATCGATACTTACGAAGCATTGAAACATGGAAAACATTGTGAATTTTCTCCATATCAGGTGGCAAAGCTAATTGATATGCCACTGGTCCCACTCTCTTAACGATTTCATATGGTCCAATAAACCGAGGACTCAATTTTCCTTTACGTCCAAATCTCAATACTTTCTTCCACAGAGACACTTTCAAGAACACTTTATCTCCGATTTGAAACTCAATTTCTTTCCTTTTTAAATCAGTATATGATTTATGTATATCAGATGAAGCTTTCAGATTATTCTGAATTACTTGAACTTTCTCTTCCATTTATTGAATCAACTTAGGACCAATAACTTCTCGATCCTTAAGTTCATACCAATTCAAGGGTGTACGACATATTCTCCCATATAAAGCTTCATAAGGAGCCATTTTGATGCTTGACTGATAACTATTGTTGTACGCAAATTCAGCAAGTGGCATATATTTTTCCCATGATCCTTTAAATTCGATAACACAAGCTCTTAACATATCCTCCAGAATTTGAATAGTTCGTTCAGACTGACCATCTGTCTGAGGATGAAACGTTGTGCTAAAGTTCAGTTGTGTGCCCAATGCTCCATATAAAAACTTCCAAAATCGTGACGTGAATCTAGGATCCCGATCAGAAACTATGGAAACAGGTACACCATGTAACCGTATAATCTCTCTAATATACAACTCAGCATATTTATCCATAGAGAAATCAGCTCGTATCGGAATGAAATAAGCTGACTTAGTCAACCTGTCTACAATCACCCATATTGAATCTCTTTTGTTCGAAGTTAAAGGCAACCCCATCACAAAATCCATAGTTACATTCTCCCATTTCCATTGAGGAATTGAAATTGATTGTAACAGTCCCGACAGAACCTGATGCTCAGCCTTAACTTGCTGACAAGTCAAACACTTAGATACGAATTTTGTAATGTCTTTCTTCATTCCCCGCCACCAATATCGACTCTTGAGGTCCATATACATTTTGTTTCCTCCTGGATGCATCGTTAATGGACTACAATGAGCTTCCATTAATAAATCATTCTTTAATTCATTAACATCTGGAATCACTAGCCTCCCTTGATAATATAGGTTCTCATCAGTTTTCATCTCATAATCTGTACACTCTCCATTCTTTATTTGCTGCAACTTCTTTGAACACTTTTCATCTTTAGCTTGCAATTCTTTAATTCGATCTAACCATGATGGTTTAATAGTCAATTTCGCACAAATTTCACCATCTCCGCCTAATGATAGTTTAGCATCCATAGCTCGTAAGGCTGCAAACGTCTTTCGGCTTAAGGCATCTGCTACCACATTTGCCTTTCCGGGATGAAAATCAATCACAACATCATAATCCTTGAGAAATTCCACCCATCTTCTCTGTCTTAAATTTAACTCTTTCTGAGTCATCAAGTACTTTAAACTTTTGTGATTCGTATACAAGTAGCATTTTTCACCATACATGTAATGACGCAAGATCTTTAAAGCGAACACTACTGCAACCATCTTCAGATCGTGTGTCGGATAATTCTTCTCATGCGGTTTTAATTGTCTCGAAGCATAGGCCGCCACCTTGCTTTCTTGCATTAATACACATCCCAAGCCATTATGAGACGCATCACTATACACTACAAAGTCCTTGCCAGACTCAGGTTAGACTAACACTGGAGCTTCTGTCAAAATCTTCTTTAACTTTTCAAAACTCTCTTGGCATTCTTGAGTCCAAGTAAATTTTACTTCCTTTCTCAACAGCTTAGTTAGGGGTAATGCTATTATTGAAAAGTTTTTAATGAACCTTCGATAATAACCAGCTAACCCCAGAAAACTTCAAACTTCTCACACATTCTTTGGAACTTCCCACTCCATAATAGCTTTAATCTTTTGAGGATCCACTTGAACTCCTTCTGCAGAAATTACATGTCCAAGAAATGCCACATCATTCAACCAGAA